CTGGTGAGCTCTCTTCCTGCCTTGTAGATAAACACCTTCTCACTGTGTTCTCATATGACAGGAGAGAATGAGAACTGTCTGGTGTCTCTTCCTCCTTTTAAAAGGACACCAATCCCAATTGGATTAGGGCCCCACCCTTATGAACGCATTAAACTTTCATTGCCTCTTGCTGGGAGAGGCAGTCTTTTGTGCAGTCTTGCATGCACGCAGCCTTGGCCTGGAGCACTTCCTTATCAAGAGATAAGAGAGTCCTCACAACTGGTCCTGGGCTTATTGTTTTATGTGGGAAAATCCTTCCCCATTTCAGACCCAATGGGTATTCCTTCCTTCCACTTAAAGAGACACCAGAGACCTCTCTCACCACTTCTACCATGTGAGTACACAGTAAGAAGATGGCCATTGGTGAATCAGGAAGCTAACTCTCACCAGACACTGAATCTGCTGGTGTCTTGATCTTGGATTTCCCAGCCTCGGGAACTGTGAGAAATAAATTTCTGTTGTTTATAAGCCACCCAGTCTATGGTATTCTGTTATAGCAGTCCAAATGGACTAAGACACACTATACAGTCAGAACAGTTTTCCACAGTTACTTAGGTCATCTCCCTTTTCCTACCCCCTTAAGTGAGTCTATGCCATACATGTGTAATACAGTTAGATTCATTTATCATAGTCTACACTCCATCCTTAGGTCCCCTGACATCCTAGTTGAGATTCTGAAGGTTAAATTTGCGTAGAGTAAAGCTTCAGTCTTTTTGTGTACTGTTGTATGGGTTTTGACAAATACATAGGATCATGTATCTGCAACCACAGTACCATACAGAACAGTTTCACTTCCCTAAAAGTTCCCACATGCAGCCCATCCCTCAACTCCTGACAACCACTAATCTGTTTTCTCTATATATAATGTTGCCTTTTCCAGAATGTCATATAANCCGTGCCCTCCGCGGCTGCACCTCCTCCGCACCAGGACTGGGACGGCGACTCCGGAGCCGGCGCGCGCGAAAGAAGAGGCTTGGAAGCCGAGAGGAGCGCGCGAAGTGTCGGGCAGTCGGGTAGTTCGGCCGGCAGAAGCCCGGTCCCGCGCCTACACCCAACCCGCAGGTCCGCACTCACCTCCAGGTCCCACCGGCCGCTTTGCGTTCTTCAGCGGCTGGAAACTCGGACACCCGTCAGCCGCCCGTCAGTCGCCGCCGCTCAAGGCCGCCTACCCGCTGCTTCCTGGCCCCGCTACTTTTACTTACCCCCATTCTCGGCTACGATTGGTCGAGCTCCGGGGGAGGCGGGGGGAAGACGCTGACTGACATGTCAGCGCAGGCCCAAGCTCAGAGCACAGACTGGAGGATCAGCGGTTGGTGCTCCTCTGGCTCGGCTCCGGTTAGACCCCAAATACCAGGTGTCCCGCGGCTGTCGCCCTGTGGCCTGAGCTCTAGGCCTTCTTGGGGCCCAGTTTCTTGTAGCCTTCGGACGTCAGGGTTTCCCCAGGGAGCATCCGTTTTAAGGCTTTTTTCTTGTCAGCGACGTGACCAAACTGGAGATGCTCCTACTTGGGCAGTATTTCAGTGGAGAAATTTATTGTTCCCTGTACTAGAGAAACATGATTTGCCAGGCACAAGCATGGAGACGACTGGTCCTCGAATCCTTCCTTGCTTGCAAGTTAGTCGATTTATTCCTCTCTATGAGCCCTTGAAATGGCCCTGTTCCTTTTATCCTCCATGTACAAGACATGGGTCCACTGGCAAAAACGCCTGAACATATTTTTTCCCCCCAATTATGGGTTATCCTATTGTGGACACTGTTCTAACTAGTAGAACGTCCACAGCAGCTGTGTGAAATTCAGGAACTAAGAGGAGTCCTCAGGAGGCAGACAAGCCCTTGCTCAGGAAGCTGAAAGGGACAACTCAGCACTCTGAGCACAGTGGGATGAACAAATTTATCCAAGCAAAATGCAGGTTCTAAAAGTAGACCTGACCCCTCATCACTATTATCTCAAGGTTGAAAAATAATAATTAATACAAATTATAACTAACATTAATTATTTTTACATTTATTGAACACAAGGGACTCTACATGCTACTTAAATCTTTTTATAGCAGGACTACATGCATGGGTGACCAGACTCGTGAATGAAATAAAAGGACGTTCTACATAGGGCAGTCTCTTCTGAAGAAACCATTTCATTCTCCCTGTTCCTCGAGGAAATTCAGCCTTCCAGGGCCTCTTGTAATCATAAAAAGTGGTTTCCATTTCCTCTGTACCTAATGATGAAGAGCCCCATATTCTGATTAAGTCCTATCTCCCAGTAGATGGACTCCCAGCCACCTACCTTTCACAGTTCGGCTGTCTGGCAAGTGACAAATACTTAAACAGGACATGCTGACTTCTAGGTCATGGTTTTGGACTGCGTTAGTTAGTGATCCTTATTAATCCCCATTCACACAGGCAGTCAGAATACTGAGGAATTTGGGTGCTCTTACATATATTTTGCAATCATTATAGCCACAAACAAGAGTGGCTGGGACCAGAGAGACCTGTCCATCCTACTAGATTCTTAACAGATCTCTGACTACAAAGTCATCACACTCCCAATACAGAATTACTATAGTACAAAGAATATGTACTTTTGGACCCTAGCCTGCCTGAATATGATCCATACCTTTGCCTCTTACTAGCAGTGCCATCTTAGGCAAATTATTTCTCTGAGTTCATTTCCTCAACTGTAAATTAGGGGCAACACTGCCTGCACTTAGGAATAAATGAGATGACAAATGAAAAGTGCCTAGCATGGTGTCCCAGATCTCTTCCTCTTGAATTTCCTATCTCAGGTTATGACACAGCATAACAAATTTCTAAACATTGCATATATGATCATCTAACTTTGAGAGCTGGGGGAAAAAATGAGAACATAATGTTTGTATGTTATGATACAAAACTAAAGGAACTGGTCATTTCTGACCTGTCTGAAAAAAAAATGATTTAGATGATAATGTTACTAAACTTTTTTCTCTAAACAAAACAAAACATGGGTCTTAAGGTTAGATCAGCAAAAGCAAATTAAACCTGTTCCTGATGCAGCTAACTTGGGGGATATTCACCAGCAAATCTAACTCCATCTCTGGCGCCAGAAGCTTGGGGCACAAGCATCCCTGAGCCCATGTCGGTTCCCAATTTAGTTCCTTTGTTTCCTCCATTAAAACAAGTGACTAAAATTTGCGCCCCAAGAACAATCAAACCATTGTT